TGTACTTCTTGACCTGCCTGTTCTGCTCCCCACTCTGCCTCTGGTGAATCCTCTCACTGCCCCTGCACCTCTGGCCTGTACCCCAGTTCTGTATGCACAAATAAATAAATCTTTAAAATAAAAAGGTAATTCACTAAACAAAAAGTATTATGTAATACATAAGCTATGTAAAATGTATAAAGACAAAACATATGACAAAAACAGTACAAAAGCCAGATTCCAAGAAAAGAAATTATGCTAGTGTGAAGTGATAATATTTTATATGTGAAATGACATAATGCTAAGGTGAACTATGATAATGACTTATACTATAAGGGTTACAACAACCTCTAAAATAGCAACAACAATAAAATAGCAACAACAAATAAAGTGGCATCGATTAAAACTATTCAATAAGACTAAAAGAAAGTCAGAAAAAGGACAAAAAGAAATAAGACAAAAAGAAAATAAGAAAAAAGGGGATGACATAAATCTTGCTATTTTTAATTATACTAAATGTAAATAGGATTAACTTTCCATTTAAAAGCAAAAGATTGTCAGATCTGATTCAAAAATGCAAGAATCAATTAAGGCTACTGTCTATAAAAAAGCACCTTAAGTATAAATACTAATAGGATAAAAAGTAAAGATTTAAAAATTATATGCTTACAACAGTCAAAAGAAGGCTAGAATGGCTACATCAATAAGAGTCGGGACAGCCTTTAGAGCCATGTCTTGTGCAATAGAGAAGGTTATTTTTTATTAACTAGGAAGTAATTACTTTTTATTAACAAGGAAGTAACTTCAAGTAAACTTAAGTAAGAATCTTAAACAAGTATGCACTTAAATACAAAGTGTCAAAATCTATGAAACAAAAAGTGGTGAAACTCAAAGGAAAATAAAAAAATCTACAGTTGTACTTAGAAATTTTAATGACTGTCTCTGAATAATTGCTAAAACACATACATGAGAAATCAAAAGAACATAGCACACTTGACCCTATATAGAAAAACCTTTCTGGGAAGTTTTCCTTTAAAAGATCAACTTTAGGGATCCGCTTTCTAGTTCTCTGAGTACTGTTTGCTTCCTACACTTGAGTTGGGGAGGGAATGCAAATGTTTACACTGCATCTCTCTGGGCCCACACTGAAGCAGGTGATATAGCACTTCTGTGCTCAATCCCATGCCTTACCTAAATGCAGGGTGTCTCCATTATTAATTGTACTGTATGCCCAGGAGGAAAATAAACAGCATTTGTATCTGCCACAAATTCTATGGATACTTTTGATAGCATTAAATCCACAAACTAAAATCATGATCTACATTTAACAAGAAGACTTAGGTTTAAAAAAAAAAAGTATGTAAATCAACTTAAAGTATAAAATAAATAAGTTTTAAATGAACATCTGCAAGTTAAAGTTTGGGTCAAAGGTATATGAATTTCAGACACTAATCAAAGAATGGAATGAAGGTTAAGATTTTTCTCTGAATATTAGATATCCTGAATATTAGATTAAAGTTCAACCTTAATTGCAGCAAATGAACCATTAACTAATGGAAGCTGATCCATGGATAATATAAGGAAGATGGAAATGAAAACTGAACTTGTTCCATGATAATTAGTTGAAGCAATTATGAAATGGATTCAGAAGGAATGATACAGGGATAACAAGATAGCTGTCAAAATATTTTAATAGTGGCATCATTTGAAACAGAAATCGGACTTTATGTTTCTTGAGATATGGAGTTGACAGTAGAAGGAAAATATGACTTAAAGTAAAGGAAAGTTTTATATCTTTAGAGTAGTGATTCTCAAAGCTTGATCCATGAACCCTACAGTCAATCTGAGACATTTTCAAGGGGACTGCAAATGCAAGATCATGTTCAAAATGATAGTAGGCTGTCATTTGTCTTTAAGAACCTCATTTTCTTTCAAGCATACTTTGGAGTTTGGAGTTTGGCTACTAGATATGTCATATCACAGAAAAGAAAACATTAAGGACCCTTTATTAAAGATATTTGGAAAAATGTAAAATCTGTTCCATTCCATTCTTGTGCTATAATTTTTGAAAATATGTTTTTCCACCTTTATTTGAGGTATGATTGACAAATAGAAACCGAATATATTTAAGGTGTACAATACATTTTGTTATATGTATGAATTGTGAAATGACTACAACAATTAAGCTAGTTAACATTTTCATCACCTCACATAATATTTGAGATGTACTTTCTGGAAATTTGAAATATATAATACAATATAATTAGCTATAATGACTATACTTTGCATTCGGTGTCCAGAATTTATTTATCTTAAACCTGAAACTTTTTACTCTTTGACTGTCATCCTCACTTCTCTCCCAGCTCCCAAAAGAAGGCTAGAATTCTACTCTCTGTTACTATTAGTCTAATTTCTTTTTTTTTCAGTTTCTGCATGTGAGATCACACAGCCGTTATCTTTCTGTATTTGACTTATAATTATTAAATTTAAAATTATTTGTTAGCAGGTGATGGGCTTATTGCTGTACTTAAATGAATTATTAAAATGGTTCATTTAACTTCCGATATGATAAATATCAAGACACATCTCACGTAAAGTTCTTTGCAATCCTCAATAGATTATAAGAATATAATTGGTCCTGGAAGAAAAGTGTTTAAAACCATTGAAGTAGAGCTATATAAAATATAATTGACTTCCTAAAGAGATAGTAAATTTGCTGTCACTGGACAGCTAACTGGCCAATTATAAGGAGTACTGTGGCAGACACTCAAATTGTAGAGATTTAGGTTGGCTGACCACTGACAACCAAGCTAAATCTGAAATTTATGATGCTAAACTTCTGTAATTATTCATTAATTTCATAAAATATGAGAATATAGCTTAGTTAAACTTTGTTTCACCAAATTATTTAGTGTCAGAGCCTTACTTAGAATTCTGTTCTTTCCACTCCACTGCTTTTATTTCTTTTTCCAGTCCTGTTCTCATAATGAGCAACTTTATGTTTGGCTACAGCTCTTGATCAAGCAAACAAGAGCTACTAGTGCAGGATCTCTCTGGCTAATCTGTTTGTTGGCTGTGATCATCTCTTCCCTTTTCAGTTTTTTTTGACTGATGTATTGTTTACCCTGGCTCTTGTCTGTATAATGCAATCAGTGCACTGGTCAGCAAAGAAAGAATGATTCAATTCTGGTATGTAGGTGGGAAGTAAGAAAACAGAAGTGAAGCTGACTTTTAAACCTAAGGCATCCATGGAGTGGGATGAGTATGAAACAGTGAGGAACAAACAACTGTAGACCAACACATCACTTTTACAAACAATGGACCTGAATACAAAAGACATATTAAATGAAAGCATGCAAGACTTACTGAAGGAAGTATAATAAATCAGTTAGCATGGTATGCTATGAACATGAAGATACTATAAACATAAACATTAATTAGTTACATAAATATTAATTAGTTAATATGTCAAAACTTTCAAGCATAATTGTTGTTAAAGTTTTGAATTTAAATATATTTATTTTATAATGTATAAATAGTTCAGAAATTATTCCTATATTCCCTTGCCAAACAATAGAGAGAGGGGGGAGAGAGAGAGAGAGAGACAAAAATAAAAGCAAAAATTTTAAGGTGAAACTCAAGCAGTTGAAAAAAGAAATTGCACTTGGGATACTTCTAGTGACAACAAACAATTTCAGCTGATCTGGAAATGGTTTCCCTCCACACAATAGGTGTCAACCTGTGACTGTGTCAGCCAAAAACAATAGAAATAATTTCAATAAGCCCTAAATATTTTTGCATTCATTGTCTACATAGTTAAAGAGAAAATGACCTAATTAATATGATTCCTGGTTCTTTTGCCATGGGTACAAAATACTTTTTGCATTCTCAAAAAGTAAGGTAAGCTGTATATCATTATAGGTGTTTTGAAGAGAATAGATTTGAACATAGAGGTGAACATTGTCACGTGATTCCCACTTCACATAAAAAAGTTATGAGTTTTAAAAATATGACTGTTTTGGAAACAAAAACACCAATACTTAATAAGTTTTAAGCAAAGTATTCTCTTAATCTTGGATCCAGCTTTATAAAGAAAGTAAAACATATCACCCAACTTCACTATTTTCAACAAAAATTTAATATATAAAATTAAAAAATAAATAAGGTAGGAAACACCCACTTATCTAGCAGTTGCACATTTACTAATTTAAAAAATGGAAATTGGTTCTACTAATAAACAATAAAAATTAAAAGTAACTTCCTTCCTCCTTCCCTCCCTCCTTTACTCCTTTTGACTATTCTCCCAATAGCACAACTTACACCTATTTATTCCTGATCCAGGATTCATTTCAGAGCTGTATTTGGATTTAGTTGTCATGTTTAATGTTATTTGATTAGTTTGCCTTTCTTTGGCCTTAATAATTTTTAAGGAATTTATATATAGTTATAGATAAATAGTAAAATATCCTGTGTTAATGTTATACTAATTATATTGTAGTAAAGTTACATTAATTCATGTGAAAGTGTGTTACTATTAAATTTTCTTACTTTGTTTTTGACTTTCTTTTTTACTTACATGATAGCAAATATATTTTTTGATTAAATAATTGATTCCTCGCTGAAATGATTAAGCTCTTCAAGACAGATCCATTCAGATCATTTATTTAATTTGGTATCACTACAGATAGATGAAATTTTCTTCATATAAATTTATTGAAAGTTTTCAAGTCATTTTATTATTTTAGTGCCTGCATGAATTCTTCATTTTATTTAATTTCAAAATTTATTTTTAATAACAGTAAGTGAAAACTGGCTCTTTTCATACACATATCTCTCCAGTATGTTTTTCTAGTGTGACACCAGATTTTTATATATGTGTTATTATTTAATGGGTGTTTTGGGGAGCAGGTATGGAGTCTGAAATGCCCAGACTGACTCTTCCTTGGTTCTTGTCTTTGTCAAGAAAAGAGTTCAACTTAGAGACCAAAGAAAAGCAAGAGATTTATTTATTTATTATTTAGGAAGAAGAACAGGAAACTCTGAGCAGAACGCGGTCCTGAATGCTTAGCCACTGAGGCACAAGAAGCAGAGGCAGGTATGGCTACAGTGGGAAAGGAGTGGGAGTTTGGACATTGTGTTTCTCCACAATATGTCTCTTGTTGATTGACTGGGCCCACAGGGCCTCCTAGACGACCAGAGCCCAGTGAGTTTGTGGGGTCTCCTAAGCTACCGAGGTCTGCTGAGTTGCAGGGTCTTCTTGACCACTGAGGCCCACTGAGTTGCCCACATTACCTGGCCTACTTTCCTGAAACTAGCTTTCATCTATTGCTTTAGTGTTGTATTATTGCGCTGGTGTCCTGGACATTCCAGTCTTTACTACCTTGTGAGCAGAACCATTTAGTTCCCCAGTTGGGAATTTCAGACACCCTGTTCCTAGCTGGTTGGCTGTATTCATTTGCTAACATCTTCCTTCATTATTTCTCTCCTAAACCAGAGTTATTTTGTATTTTAAATTGTAGCATGATAACGATTCGATAAATATTGAACATTTAAATGTTCAGCATTTGTTGAATAAATCAATTTGAAAGGGAGCCACAAAGTTACTGTTGTGAAATGTGTCATGACAGCTACTATTTGTTTAGACAGCAGTGTGTTAATTCTTTTCTGTGCATTATTGTACCCTCACTTTACCTACCCTTCATAATGTAATGAGGTAGTTCTGAGTAACGTAACTTCTGAGGTTGTGTACAGTGAACTTCATCTCCTGATATTTTACACCCCTGTGTCGCCTCCTTCCTTTGTGTGTGCTAGCTGAACCAGCAACTTGTATCTATCAAATAAGATGTACTAAAATTTGTGAAAGATGGGGGTGATAAAAAGTAGTAATATTGCTGAAGTGAAACCTGGACACTATGACCTTGGCCAAATTCTTAAGATTCACAACACTGGCAAGTCCTACTGACAGAATGTACCCAAGATAAGATGTAATGGAAAGGACACATCACTTATTTTAATAATACAATCATGAGAAAATATTGGACAAACCCAAAATTGAAAGGAATTCTACACGCCTATTCTTGCGTCTCAAAAAATGACAAGATCATGAAACACAAGGCTAAAGAATGATCAAAGAGACTGAGGAAATGTGGCAACTAAATGCAACATGACATCCTAATTAGCCCCTGGAACAGAAAACCTTGTCAAATCTGTCTAGTAATTTAATTTTTAAAAGTGTAGTGAGGTGCCAATTTGGAGAGTAGGCTGTAGAAGGTGACTCCCAGCAGCCCTCCTGTCTGTTGTGTCTATCCCTGTGCTTCTTGAGCCAACTTCTTCCCTTTGCAGGACAGCAGCTCTTCTGCCTGCCTGACACAAGCAGTCTTCTCTTTTAGTAAACCTGTGCCTTTCAAGGGCAGCTCTTTCTGCTCATTGTGTCTATGCAAGTGTCCTTTATTCTTCTTTCCCTGTTAATGGTAAACCTGCCCTTTTGGATGTGTGTGTGTGTGTGTGTGTGTGTGTGTGTGTGTGTGTGTGTGTGTGAGAAAGACAGAGAAAAAGAGAGAGAGAGAGAGAGACAGAGAAACAGAGAGAGAGTATGAAGACCATGAGTTCTGTTTTGCTTGTATTTATTTTCTAGCTCTTGCTTGCTGCTCTGATGAAGCAAGTTCCATGATGAGAGCCCACATGGATAGACCACTTGGAAAGGAACTGAGAAGGCCTATAGGCAAAGCCTTGAGGAGCTGAGCCCCTTAGTCAAACACCCTTGAGAAAATGAAGTCTCCTAACAACCATAAGGTAACATATGGGTGAGGCTGGGAGCAGATTTCTCTCTGTTAAGCCTTAAGATAGTTGCAGCAATAAGGGACACACTGATTCCAGCCTTGTGTGACTAAGAGTCACAGAACCAGGTAAATTGTACCCACAGGTATTGGATAAATGTTTTAAAACACTAAATTTGGTATTAATGTTACATAGTTATAGATATCTAAGAGCTCTGTTTTCTATACAATTAGTATGGCTATTTTTCAAATAAGGAAAGTGACTTAAAGAAGTTAGATAATTAACCAAAAATTACACAATTAGGAAATAAAATTGGAATTTTAAATTCTAGTCTCTTAGAGACAAAGTTTATTGTTTTAATTATTGCATTATAATGGCTCATAAAGCTCTGTAAAATAAGTTATATTTCTGTTAACAAAATTATTCTAAACCAGGATAAAGCTTTGCAAAACATCTAAACATATTCCCAGATAAATTTAAGAGAAAATTTAAATATGACAATATTTTTTATTAGGGGGGAGGAGAAAATGGTGTTTATTCACCATAGTCTGAAAAATTATCTCAGCAACTTTGAGTTGCATTTGCCAATTAACATCAAGCGAACAAGTGGATTTGATAGACAAAATCAAGCTTTCAACAGGATTTGGTGATAATAAATTAGAGGGATCTCAGGGTTGCTCAAAAAGAAAATGACCACAAGAGGGCATGCTTGAGCTTTATTTGAGCAGCACTTTCACAGGTTTGCAGGTTGAGATGCTTTGCAGGGTGGAAATTTTCAGAGGCTAAGGTATGAAGGTTGGAATTAGAAGTGTTTTGCTGAGGAGAGGGGGGGCAAGGAACTTCCAGGGGAGAGGCTCCTGCCTCTGAGAAGGGACTCACCTATCTAGGTGATGTTACACCAGCAGGGTTTCTAGGCCATGGCCTCCAAAGATGGGGAGCAGCTTGGGGTGTTTTTTAGCTACAGGGCTTATTTTATTTGCTCCCTGTGGCAGATGTTGAACATAGTTTCACATGTTATTCAAAGTAGGATAAATGTCCAAAATTCTGTTTATTTGGGATATGTTAAAAATAAATGAGTGTGCAAAACTTTTAGTTTGACATTAATAGTCTTTGAGCCAATAGGTTACAGATTGCTATGAACGTATAAATAATCTAGGGGCTGTAATAATATGCTTCTATTACAGATTCACACCAAAATACATCTATAATTGACTTGGTCCAATGGCAGCAATTGCCTTAGAAACATCTTGGCTCAGATTAAAAAAAAAAATGTTTCCGGCATATAACTGTGAACTATCAAAGTATTTGTTCAGGCATTTAAATATATAAATATCTTAGAGAAAAATCATTGGTTTTTGACCAGATCATGCTACAGATTCTACGTTAGGCAATTCCATGAGGAGGAGAAATTACTACCTTAGCAAAAATTTAAAATCTCTTTAATTTGTTTAACTGACCATCATTCATAAAGTATGGTCCTTCTCAATAAGATAACAAAGTCTTCATTTCATTTCATTTCAGACATTAAGAAGAAGGCACCGATTAGAATTGTAAATCTTGTCTGTTAAAAGTATACCTAGGGTGTAACAGTCTAAGGACCCTGTTAATCATGTCTTCTAAGTTCTGTAAGCTCTATCTTCAAACCAAAGTTTCAAATAAATTCTCTTTTTCCTCATTTCTCTCTTCCAACTCTGGAATTTCCATTATTATTATTATTATTTTTTAAAGAATTATTTTATTTGTACATACAGATCTGGGGTACAGGTCAGAGGTTCAGGGGTGGCAAGAGGCTTCACCAGAGACAGAGTGGGGAGCAGAACAGGCAGATTGACGAAGTACACTGCTGAGGGAAGCAGCGGGCGGGCCAGGAGAGGTCTGCCACACCATGTGGTCACCTCCGGGGCAGGCGGGAATCGAACTCATGCGGAAGTGGCTTTAGCTTCTCAGTGCAGTGCTTTAACCCGCTGCGCCACCAGGGAGGGCCAACGAATGTCCATTATTTTTATGCTGCTTTTTCTCATGTTGTTAAATAATTCCCAAAATATTTCTTCATTGTTTCCCCTTCATATCTTTTTTTTTTTTCTTTTCCCACCTGGTTTCTTTGCTCATGCTTATTCATGGCAAATGGATTAGATCTCTCACTTCATCTATCCTACTTCCAAAGCTTTATTTTTATCTCCTCTGTTTATTTTAGATTTTGCATCTTTGTTATTTTCTTAAAGATTCTATTTTGATATTTTGTGTTTTACTTATACTTCTCATAGTATTCATTTGTTTTTTTGAGTTTTCGTGATTATCTTTGACCCGCTTTCTGTGTTTTCTCCCTTTGCTTTGAATTTCTTTATCATGGCAGTTTTGAATTCTGTTTCTTCCAGTCTTTGTACTTGGGTTCTGTAGATTTGTTCTCTTTCTGTGGTTTAGTATTACTTTGAACACTAAAGTTGCCTTTTTTTGTCCCTTTTTCTTTTTGCATACAGCCATTGTTGGGGACATTTCAGCTGGGTGTGTCCCCAATCTCATACTGGAGTGAGAAGGCTTATTGAGGCTGCATGGCTTCAGTACTTCTGCTCTGGACATGACTCCACTCCCTATGCTGGATATGGGTCTAGCTGGGTTGGTAGACTGCTACCACTTCTGATGGTGGAGCTTTAGGGCTTCCCAAATATTCTGTATTACGTCCATGATAGCTGGCAAATCTTTCTTACCAACTTCTGTAGTCATTGTTCTTCCTATGTATAATTCATGCCAAATTAAACAGATTAATGTCATTTGGAATATTTTTTTCTTATTCAAATAACAGCATTGGAGTGAAGATTATGAATAACATCACATTAAAACAAAAACAAGGACATTGGATAAGTGCACACTTGTTCTTAAACTAGTAGGTAAATGGGGAGGGGCATTATGGCTCTGAATTGAAATGAAAGCTTTTCCTTAAAGATAAATGTGAAAAGATAAATCTAGTTTAAAGTATAATAATATTCTTAAAAGAAATCTAGTGAGGAAGAAAAGCGAGAAAGGCAAATTCATTTCCTTGATTTGGTATACCAAATACCTCAAATTGTGTGGCTGAAAACAACATAAATGTATTCTGCCACATCCCTTCCCGTGGCGCCTAAGTGAGAAGTCCTTAGAGTTGGCATGGTCAAGGTACGGGGCACACGGGAGGAATACGTAGCCCTCCAAAAATAAAATAGCTGATTCTCGAATGGTCACTGTAACTTTTTGATTTGTTTTCTGATTCTGTTGATGCACAACAACAAAAAAATGCTATGGATACCGTACTTCGTTTGTAATGATACTCTTGATAGGAATGTAACTTCCTCTATTCTCAATACTGATTTACTTCTGAGAAACTCCCTTACAAACTTTAATATTATTATACAATTAACTCCTATATACCAGGTGGTTTGTGAAATGAATGGAGAGAGTAGTTAAAAGGATTAGAAAGGCATAGGTGATAGATAGGTATTTGTTTAGCAGCACTGAACCTTGAATACACGGTGGTTTCCTAGGGTCCCAAGTTGGTTTTCGGGTCCCTGGCAACATCTCAGAAACAAAAAGAAATTAATGTATTACCTGTCATGCCTCTATTAAAAAAATCATTGTACCCCTATATTTGTTTGTCAAGAAAAACTGTATAAATGCTCTGCACTCTTGAAAATAAATTACATTCAGATATGCACTCCTAGAAGTCGTGTCTGTCTGTCACTCAACCTCATCCTTGTCTACCCTGTGCCAGAATTGCCTTCCCTGAAACTTGTCTCCTGCTCCTGCTGCGCTGGTCCGCGACAGTATTCTGTTATAGTTCTGGAGATTAGAAAGGGCAATCAAGGTATCAACAGGGCCATGTTTCCACCATTACTTTAATGAAACTTTCCTTCCTTCTTCCTGGATACAATCGTTCATGTTCCTTGGTTTATACATCCATCACATCTATCTCTGCTTCATTCTTAATATGGTATTTTTCCTTGTGTGTTCTGTGTTAAACATTTTCTTAATAAAAGGATGCCAGAAATAAGGTTATAGGGCACCTTATCCAGTAAAATCTCATCTTAATTTTTTTTTAAGACTTACTTATGCATACAGAACTGGGGTATAGGCCAGAGGTGCAGGGGCAAAGAGAGGATTCACCAGAGAGAGAGTGGGAAAGTACAAGCATATTGATGAACTACATTGCTGTGGGAGCTGTGGGCCAGGCAGGAGAGGTTTGCTGTGCCATGTGGGTCAGCTTCCTGGCCAGGGATTGAACTCATGCTGTATTGGCTGTGGCTACTACTGAGCTTTAACCCTTTGTGTCACCAGGGAGGGCCAAAATCCCATCTTAATTTGATTCTATCTTCAAAGTTTCTATTTCCAATTAAAACCACATTTACAGGTAGTACTTGTTAGCAGCTGTCTGTCCCTTTTTGGAGGATAAAATGGAACAAATTTTTAAAACTGATAAAATTTTGCTGAAATGGGAGACATGCAAGTGTGGATACATACCTGGAGCAAGCCTGAAAGTAGTCTTGAAAGAAGTCCATTGTATCTTAATTGAGTCCCACAGAAAGTTAATATTTATATTTAGCAATCTACCATGTGAAAATCCATTAAAAACACAGATTTTAGTGCCAATGACATTAAAGATAAAATAAGTAACCACTCATTCAACTCATTTTTTATGCATAATGCTTAAACACAATAGGAACAGCGTGATGAACAATACACAATACTCCCTTTTAGTGTTTAATAATCTGAAAGGAGCCAGCCAGGTAAATAATTACAACACCTTGCATAACAAGATCAAATTGACATATTGAATAGACTCCTTTCACAGCAGGTAGGAGAGTAGGCTGGGAGAAGAGAGAGATTAGTTAGTTATGATTAAGATGATTATGTAATAGATCATCAGTTGTAGGAATTGGGTGATAAAGAAGTTAGAAAATTCTAAGGACAGAATGGAGACACATTCAAAAGATCTCCTGGTTTAGCTTCCCTACGACCCAGCAATCCCACTCCTAGGTATCTACCCAAAAGACACAAAAACACTGATTGAAAAAGATACCTGCACCCCCACGTTTATTGCTGCTTTATTTACAATTGGAAAAACATGGAAGCAGCCCAAATGCCCAAAAGTAGATGACTGGATTAGAAAGATGTGGTACATATATACAATGGAATATTACTCAGCAACCAAAAAAGAGAAACACATGTCTTTTGCAGCAAATTGGATGGAGCTGGAAAAGATCATGCTTAGTGAGATAAGCCAGAAAGAGAAAGAAAAATACCGGATGGTGTCACTCATAGCAGGAGTATAATGGACCAGGCGAGAAAATAACAAAAATAATGAACAACCATATACAAGAGACATTTTGTGGGGGTGGAGTGCGGAATGGGATCAAAAATGGGGGCGGGGAAAAGGGAGGGAAATGCACGGGACTATGGTGGTGACACAGGAGTGATTTGGTGATGGGAAACCCGCGGGGATTACAATGAAAAGGAAAAAAAAATGTGCAAAGTGATGTAAAAATAAACTTTGTAAGACCCTCCTCTCCCTCCCCCAAAGAAAACCTGCATCCTTCTAGCTCATTGAGGGGAACTGATGGTTGTTTTGCTGATTAGGAAAAAGGCAGGAGATTAAAATATAATAATCTCCTTTTTGATTCAGGAAGATGATAAATTTAGGCAAGGACAGAAGTTTCCTCTCAGTCTTAAGGGATTTCATTGCATTTAGCTCAAAATACTCTGCACACCAGAGCAGGGAGTTTGAGAAAACTAGTCCTGAAACTTTTGGGATGTCTTATTTGGGCACCTTCATTAGCAAAGTATTCATTTCTCTTTAGGATAGTACCTTAAACTCCATCCTATCCCCCTGCTGAGTACTCTATTAACTATATTCTTGCTATGAGACAACCTCTTCATACTCTTTATTACCAGTTTTTGAATATGTTCAAGCCAGCCATTACAACCATAACACTATTAACAACCAACACACCCTCAGTGATACTCAGTGCTAGTTAACTGCTGTCTTTATCTTCCATTCACAGCTATATTTATAGAAGCTTGCATTTCATGGGTGTCATTGTTCACCACCAATGCATTCCTTAATCTGTTATTTGGCTTCTTCTTCTAGTCTTCGTAAATTGCTCTCATTCCAGTTTCTAACAAATTCTTTTTTGTTTAATCCACTAAGCACATTAGTTACTTCTGACCTCTCAGCAAAAGCTGACTGTTTTTCCTACTCTAATCATTATAAACTCTCATCTTTTAATTTATACTTTTATTATGTTGGGAGTGACCAAAGATTTACTGACAAGGACTGAATTAGGGCGATAAAGAATTGAGCCAAGCTTGCATCCAAGATTGATAAAGTGGTAGTAAACTGACCTTGAGGTCCTGGATGGGTCTAGCTGAAGGTGACAGCGAACTGGGCCTCACATCAAGGACACAGCAATGAGTCACCCCCTTTGGAATCTGAGTTTAGAATCTATATAAGATACCCTTCCCCCTTAGGTTGGCAGTAGCTGCAGACCCCACCCTAAGGGCTCCCTCTCAGCTGCTGTCCTGGAGCAATAAACTCTGCTTGCTCAGCCTTTCTGCCTCCCGCCTTCTTTTCTTGCTGCCGGTCACAGAAGTTGGGACAAAACATTACGCCTTTTCTTCTCCTTCTCAGTCTCTTCCTCTAATCATGTCTCTTGTTATATTCTTCAAAATTCATCCTGTGTATTCCTTTTTCTTTTCTTCAGTAAATGCAACTTTGGCAAAATCAAGCAACAGGAATAACTAGGGTTTATGAAGAAAATACTGAAGAGGCAAACCACTCAAAAGCCTATACAACTTTGTAACCAGGGTCCTACTAAAAGCATTAACAGTCTCAATACCAGAAAAATTGCCTCTCTCTTTAATATCCCAGATCTATGGTATGCCTGCAAGGGTCATTGTTACAGTTTATCTTTTTTTGATCCTTTGTTTGGTTTCTCTAGATTACACATATAAATGAAACCATCTGCTATTTCTCTTTTTCCTTCTGGCTTACTTCTCTTAAAATAGTCTCTTCCAATTCAATCCATTTTGCTGCAAATGGTATAAATTTATCTTTTTTGATTGTTAAGTAGTATCCCACTGTTTTTATGTACCCCATCTTCATGATCTACTATCTGTTTTGGGACATTTTGTTTGTTTCCATTTCTGGGCTGCTAAAAACATGGGAGTGAAGGTTTCCTTCCAAATTAGGGTTTTTATGCTCTTTGGATAGACACTTAGTAGTAGAATTATTGGGTCATATGGTAGATTTATTTTTATTCTTTTGAGGAATCTTCACACTTCTTTCCCAAAGGACTGGATCAATCTAAATTCCAACCAGCAGTGGAATAAGGTTTCTTTTCCTCCACACCATCACCCATACTTAATGTTTGCAAGTTTTTTTTTTTTTTTAATATGGGCCACTGCCACAAGTGTGAGGTGATATTGCACAGTGATTTTTATTTACCAATTCTCTATGAACTAGTTTTTTGACATAGAAATATATTTCATTTTAGAGGAAAGTAATATTTAAATCAAAAGCCTTAATGCTTCCCCTCCTAAATTATAGTTTTATTATACCTTTGCTGATTTGTTTTCTCTAAAAAGTTACATAGACAATATGCATTACATAGACATGTATATTAAGATTTACTCAAAGTAGATTTGAATTTTATTGGTTTACCTTTTTTCTTAGCTGTGTAAATTTTCAAATAATATTTGAACAGTGGAATATTTTAAAAATTATAAAAATAACTAAAATTATTAAACTTTAATTCTCCTAGGAAATCCTATATATACTACACTGATGTTTAAAATTGCAAATACATGGAAATATTTGAGAAATATTTCACAAGAAATTATTTTATTAGGAAAATACAGATCAGCACTGACACATTTCTATTTCTTAGGTAAAATCGTGGGTGATTTTCCTTGTGTGAATGTTAGGTACAGCAGGAGGTCTTGTAGAATGTTAAAGGAAAAATCCTGCTTTTGTATTCTGATCCTCAAATGTTCCTCAATCCTGCTGGTTCAAAGAGAATAGAGTTAAAGTAGTCAAGTAGAATTTCATATAATGAGTAGTTTATATATTTTCATAAAGCCATGTTAAAGTAGATGAAGAAAATATTTAGTAAGTTATCCAAACTTGCAGCTTCACATTCCCTTCTGCCACTGACACCATGAATAGAGCAAGCTCTACCCTAACACCCAGTCATTGACTAATGTGAACAACAAAGGAGAATTTTGTCGGTTGTTCCTTCTCTTTAGAGAACAAAGGAAACATTGTAGAGATTTTTTGTTTGTTTATTAACAATCTGAGCTTTAATATTTGGAAAAGTACTATATCACTTGAATGGAGGTAAAATAATGTTTGATATAATTTTTTAAACTTTTGATAGAAACACATTTGCGCGTTAGAAAAAATTCACACAATCAAATTTATTATATTTAAAGTTGAGTATTTTTTCCACAGGCAATAGTTGTGGTAAAATAGTGTGTAAAATGAAATAAAATCACAAAGATGAATATCAATTTATGTATCAAGTAGTTTATATCAATAAAACTCAACTCAAGTAGCAAACAAAACTACAGAAGATCATAATGAGTTTTTTGTCACCAAAAGCAAACAATCATGAAAATATGCATTGTTAGTACTGGACAGTTGTCCAGCATTTTCTGAGGAAGCCTTTCCATGATCAAATAAAAGATAAATAAAATGCTAACTTTTAGAAAATTTTCCTTTGAAGAATTAATATGAGTTTAAATTTTTATTATCTGAACTAGGCTGAAGAATCTAATATAATTTTAAAAACAACTGAAGTGAAAAAATAAATTGTTTAAAATCTAAATAATACTACAAAACCAAAGTCCATTAAGTAATACAGAAAATATTATTGTGGCCCTCCCTGGTGGTGCAGCAGCTTAAAGCACAGCACTAAGAAGCTAAAGCCACTTCCGCGTGAGTTCAATTCCTGCCTGCCCCAGAGGTGACCATATGGTGTGGCAGACCTCTTCTGACCCAGCCACTGCTCCCCTCAGCAGTGCACTTCGTAGATCTGCCTGTTCTGCTCCCCACTCTGTCTCTGGTGAATCCTCTAGCTATCCCTGCATCTCTGGCCTGTACCCCAGTTCTGTATGAATAAATACATAAATCTAAAAAAAAATATATATATATAGTAAAATAGTATTAATTTATGTGTATTTTTTCACATCGAATTCATCCCTTTCTTTAGTTACTTTCTATTGAGAATAATAAAAGTATGTGTTGTAATGCCACAAAACATGGAGACTATATTATGATGTTTGTATGCAAAATATGACAAAACATGGAACCATGTGAATTACATTCACTTATTAAACATATAACTGTATCATTAATTATTTTAAATTTTAATTAATACAATATTTCATGGGTAGACTGATAATATATAATTCTTACACAATTATGTTCAAGTTAATACTTAGTTCTCTTCTTCTTTTTCTTTGCTTTTAGACTCCTCACAGGTCTAGATATGATATCCTGTTTTTCCTGTGGTAAATATTTGAATAGGCCCAATGAAATAGACATGAAGATGATAGTGACTGCTTTGCATAATAAACCTGAATTTAAAAAAATCATTATATACATCAGTTTATTCAAAGCACAAATGTATATAAAAAACATGTCATTTGGTAATGGGAATATAATTATATTTCAGCCCTAAGAGCTTCAACTTCCCAACTATAGCAATTAATTCACATAAAGTTCTATCATAAAGTTCTAGTTATTTAAAGGAAAATTTTTAAATGTTTCACAAAATCTTTCAGATGTGTTAGGTACATAGCTCAAGGAAAATGCAAGATGTGTTATTGTTTTACAGAATTTATTAATTCTGAAACATAAAAATATATTTCTGCTCTGAAAACTTAAGTATGAATTGGAACTGGAAATTGTTTAAGTCATTTTAGGTGGCTTTATTCTTTTTTGAAATAGTCATCATGTCCCATACACCGACAGAAATATTTTAGAAAAATTGATTATGTAGGGCTTATAATTCATTTCATGTTTGGAAAAAAAAATACCAGTATTAAAGTACTCGAACTTTGTATGCACATGACCTTATCATTTAAAGTAAGAAATATTGTGTGCACAATATAAATTAGCCTATGAAGTAGTTTCAAAATATCAAATAGGAAACATTAAGGAGTCTATCATTTATAATACAATAGTGTCTCATACATTTCTGATATATCGAGACTGTAAATAACCCAAGTGCATATTGACAAGAAAATGGATAAAATATAGTGTTTCACAAAGCAACATAGTATACACAAATGCTTTTTTAAAAGCACCAACTACTGCTATAAAAATAGCATGGATGAATCTCCCAAAAGCATAACTCTGTCTCAATCAGTTGAGTATGCATGCATGGGTTTATTTGTTTTTCCATTCTGTTGAGTTGGTCAATGTAGTGACTCTTAGACCAATATTAGCTACTGGTCTATCTATCAGCTCTATCATCTTGATATAATTTCATATCCAAGAGCATATAACCTTTACTTTTTTTCTTCAATTATTTTTTAATAATTGATAATTGAATCACTCTTGGCCCTTTGATTTTCCATATAAACTTTAATTTCCTTGTCAATTTCAAAACCTAAGATTTTTTGATCAAATTGATGTTATATTTTCACTTAGAAATAGCATTTTAAGAACTTTCTATGTGTAAATATCATAGCTTTGTTTGATTTTTTTAGGATTTAACTTCCTGCAAATAGATTTTATAGCTGTTAGTATTAAGTTATTAGGCAACTCTCAGAAGATTATTCGTACTTGGTTGTGTAATTGCACTTCTTATTTTTATATTTGATTGTGCCATATATATTCAATATAAACACACAACTGATTATTGGATATTAAGCAACTTTATTAAATCCACTTAATTCTAACATATTATGTTTCTTGATATGGATGCTAATTACAGATGCAATCAATTTATACAAATTATATATATGTAATACATATTCAGTAGGGAATATATACTTCAATAAAAATTCTACCACTGATAAAGTGGTAAATATGGTCAGTTAAAATACAAATGTTTATAAAAGACCACACATATTCTATAACATATAAACTAGAACTGATGATCTTCATTTGAGTTAAGTGATATTTAATTAATAATTTAAGGTTTGAGAAAGATCAGAATCTCCTGGCTATCAAAGGGAAATGACAGATTGATATGAAACTTGTTTTACTATTTTCTGATAAAACATTTAATAATCTGATGAATGCCAATGTCTTCCTCCACAGAGAGTAACAAATTGGGCAAACAAATGTACAAACAAAATGTTAGCATTTCTAGAATATTAATTGTGGATTCCTACTACTCATAGATCCTTACTGAGTAGTGGTTTGCATAGAACTTTCTATGACAATGTTGGTATCTTCACCTGTACTTCTAATATTCAAATGTGATGATTAATTACATAAAATTTACTGTCACTGAGGAACTGAGATAATGCACCACAAATATTTATATTCTCTAGTTAATTTTTAGAATATCTTCTGTACCGTAAACATCAAAGTATCTGTCCATAGTTTATTATTACTGTAATTTACTACATATAAGCAGCCATAAGTTTTAAATAACAATTTTAATTCTCTTCATTTCTTCAATTGATAACACTTACATTGTCCTACCAATAAGTAGACCATTTTTGTCTTGTCATACAGCCAACAATTTCCAGTGACTCCACAGCGATCAATATCACGAAAAATACAGTAAGCTTCTCTTGCTACTTTAAAGACTACTGGTCCAGGTATAGTCCCTATGAAAAATGCAGTGACTGTAAATTTTCAATGAAGAAAGACACTATAGGTTGGAATCAGAATGATTCTTTTCTTACTATTAAATTTATACAGGCCCTCCCTGGTGGTGCAGTGGGTTAAAGCACAACACTAAAAAGCTAAAGACATTTCAGAATGAGTTCAATCCCAGCCTGCCCGGGAGGTGATCCAAATGACCTCTCCTTTCCTGCCCGCTCCTTCCCTCAGCAGTGTGCTTCATTTATCTGCCTGTTCTGTTCCCCACTCTGTCTCTAGTGAAGCCTCTCACCAACCCTGCACCTCTGGCCTGTACCCCAGTTCTGTATGCATAAATAAATAGATCTTTAAAAAAATTAAGTTTATACATATATATTTAATTATCACTGTAAACTTGCCCTTTAAAAATAATCTAGGGCCCTCCCTGGTAGCACAAAGAGTTAAAGAACAGCATTGTGAAGGTAGCCACAGCCACTTCAACATGAGTTCAACCCCCAATCAGGGAGGTTACCCACATTGTGCAGCAGACCTTTCCTGTCTGACCCACTATACCTCTCAGCAACGTATTTCAGTAGATCTGCCTGTTCTGCTCCCAACTCTGTCTCCGGTGAATCCTCTCAACCCCCCAGACCTCCGGCTTATATCCCAGTTCTGTATGCAAAAATAAATAAATCTTTAACAAAAATAAAAATAATATAAGAACTTACATATAAACTTTGTAAAAACTGGAAAAAATGATTGTATTTTAGAAAATACTTATCCCTAGAGCTATAAAAAAATAGTAGATTTGCATCTTTTTAGATTAGTGTGTCAATTTTTATATAGTTGGAATCTCAAAAGTTTTGTTAATATGTTAATCAAAACTTGAAGAAAAAGTCTTTAAAACAAATAATATTGCTTTTGTGAACTTATTGGATCACCAAATATTTCGAAATTTTCAATTTTCAATAATTGAAAATTTGTTTTACTAGATATGTGTTCCTATCAAGGTGAGAGAAGTTACTTCTTTTCACTTCTTCAATTGATATCACTTACATAGTTCTGTAAATGCTTTGGTATTTTTGTACCAGCCCACATTCCGAATGACCTTATATACAAAGTTGTGTGCTAACTGAGGGAATTCTCCAAAATAAACAAAATAACTAATGAAGCACATCCTTCAATAACATCCTTTCATTCATTGGTCAGTTATTTTTTCTCTTCGATGTTGTAAAGAAACAATAACAAAATGACATTATTCAAATATCTGCTGTACTGAGAAACATCTCAGCAATGACATGATTTTCAGCTAAAATTTAATTTAGTTATAATGAAAAAAAGCCATCCCTAAAACATTAGAAATGGATTTTCATAGCTACCATGTCTAATGATTTATCATTTTCATTAAGAAATAATCTAGTCCTTGCTTTCTTATGATTCTTTATCCATTCCAAAGGTCAATATACATGACGAGATTTCCAGTCTCAAAGAGTGCTGGCATTCTTTTTATAGGAAAAACCTGGGTCTACTATTTATCTTTTTGCGTTTCATCATATTTTTTCAATCCATGATAAATATTTGTAATTTGAAACAAATAATGGGCATACTGATTTCTCTCAGTGTGCACTATAATCCCCAAACCAAATTTAATATAGTTCTAATTTAGACTTCAATAAAAGCTTCTCTTTTTCACCACATTTTCTTTTTCACACTTGTGTTCTATAAGCACTTCTTCCTTTAATAGCAGATATTTTTTAATGTAATAATAGCTATTCTATGTGTGAAACTCCCTCATGGAAAAACCAAGATCTAGAGCTACTAAAATCTTTCTTATTTCACCCTCTCCCATTTGAAAATACATCCACCTAACTTACTGTCATTTCTCCTATGCTAATTTTCCCATTACAAATCTGACCTTTTTCTAGTGGGTCATTATGTAGCATAAAAATATGCTGTCATTTTAATCCAGACTTAGAATAACATATGCTGTAATCATAGAATATTTTCTCTGACCCTCCCACGAGTCACACTTAAGTTTTTTCACAATTTGTATTCTATCTGTAATTTGTCTTTCACCCTCACACCCATTTAATTTTGCTTTCTTACCTGACCAATAATTTGAGCAGCAAAACTAACTTGTTCTCTGATTTACAAACATACTTACAAACTGAAGACTCAGTATTTTATGTGATGAAAATGCTTACAGGTATTAATCTAGGTTAGTGATTTCCCAAGCATGCAAACACTATCACAAGTATCTGCTAAGCTCATAAGATATTTCGTACCAGCTTATCAAACCAATTGTAAGAGCTTGGTTAATTTTCTTCTGAAACAAATGATTATCACTGAGTAATGATTCAGTATCATTTTAATACATATTTAAGATTCCAATTAGGATGTGTTTTACATTAGACAGTAAAGCTGCACCTCCCTCTCATTTTTTTTGTCAGCTTACCATTGTTATTTATTTGAAATTCTAAATATACAATAGATGTGTATGCAATATCAAAGAGGAACAAGTCAATGTAATAAAAGATTGACAAAATCCATACCAAATAGTCTCAAAATGATAAAAGTCAAACCGAAGGCTACAGAACGGTGCTTTTCTGATATAATCCTGCAAACAAACAATGATCCCATCAGTATATCATCATTATTTGCTATAAAGAATGTTTGCAAATTTCAGGGTTAATTCCCCCCTCAACCCCTGGCATCAAATTGTATATCTATAGCCAGTTGACAGAGTTCAATTCAGCTGACTTAAAAAATTGCATCTCCCCATTTTTTCATATCCTGTCCCTTACATGTCATTCTCAAACTTCTTGACCTTCACAAGATGGAAGCATTCATGGTGTGAACCCTATAGACCAGCCTTTTTTTCCTTTGATGAAAATAACAACACTTATTTTCATCCTTTCCTTTTTTCATTCTAGATTCCCTCCCTGTGTAGTTCCATCAGGTTTTCTGAGTCCCTAAACAAAGGAGTCCCCTTAGAGATCTCTTTACTTCTTACCCCTTTTCCCCTCTTGCTTCCAAGATGGTAATAGACAGGAAGAACTACTGTATTTTGGGATTCATAATAATTTCCCTACGTGCTAAATTTTACTTGAATTTTCTTGAGTTTGTCATACTTTCCTTTCGTATTGGATCTATGTTAACCTCTCTATTCAAAAAACTAAAGTAAGTGATGAATAATTTCTCAAATATAAATAATGAAAATATTTGTATCTCCCACTAATCGAATCAAGTATTTGTTATAAAAAGAAAAATAATGCATAATATCACATATATGTAGAATGGAAAATAACTCAAAAATATAATTTAAAAAACCTTTAAATGTTTTAGGAAGGAAAAAAATGTGAACTCCATGTAAAATAAGCTATGCATAATTTTAAAAATTTATAAACTTTCCTTGTTCTAGAACAATAACTTACCATGACCAATGTTAATACCCAATATTATTCAATTTATCAAAACATAGAATATATACATTGCTTTTTTACTATTTTGCAAAAGATTAACTTAATTCTACCCATACAATCTGGTAAAACTACATATTACTTCCTCAAATGTTTACTTCTAAGGTAACCAAGAGAAAATAACCAATTCTCATATAGTAATATTTGTACTTTCACTTTTCTGCAGTATTCTCCCTTAGCTTCATCTCCCAGAGGTCTTCAAAGTATCCTATTTATATTGCATATGTGATTATTTTTATTTCTGAGCCTTACTGTTTTCAGTGGCTTCTAGATGTTCACAGGATAAGATCATTCATTTTAACATGACAAAGAAAACAAGTGATCAACACCCTCATTCTGTCAAATCCCCTTGTCCATTCACCATCATGCTACTTTCCTTAGAACAAACTTATCGACAAGATATTTAACAGATGGTTGCTTCTCCTTCCACTTATTTTTCCTTTTAAGAACTTATTCCCAATTTGTCCATGCTATGAGAGTTTTTATCTGCATATAACACAGTTCAAGTTTCATACCTTCTATAAGTAATTCCAAGTTATCTTACATAGACTTCATCATTCTTTTCTTTTTGTTCCTGGTCAATCATACAGTCTTTAAGATAGCTCTAAGTATTCACTGCATTTGTATTTGTGTGTTTTTTTCCTTCCCATTAAATTTTAAGCAACTTGTAGGCAAGTCCATATCTTAGTGGTCCTTCTACTTTGAGTGCCAGACACATATTATGTATGAATTAAAAAGCTGGGCCTCCCTGGTGGCACAAGGGATCAAGACACAGCACTGAGGCTGTCTGGAGTTACTGCAGCACGAGATGATCCCTGGCCAGGGAAGTGACCCACGTGGCACAGCAGACCTCTCCTGTCTCGCCTGCTGCTCCTCAGCTGTGTATTTTAGTACATCTGCCTGTTCTGCTCCCAACTCTGTCTCTGGTAAATCATCTCACCTCTGCCCCTCTGGCCTGTACCCTAGCTATTGTATACATACATAAATAAATCTTTAAAATAAAAAAGCAATGGCACAGTACAATATGTCCAGGTTTTATCTCCCATCATAATTAAAAGTTCACTGATAGCAGAGACAACATATTCTAATTTCACATTTTTGTATGCATTTATTTATTCCTGTTTTAACCTATATTTTCCTTCTAGGGATAGAAAACTATTCCATATAGCTTAAAGTTTGATGTTGGCCTTTTGAAAAATTTTAATTATGACAAATTATTCTGCTTCTATGATTGAAAATATTTCATATTTTGTGGAATAATAAGTGAATGTAAGTTTATTTCAGAATAAAAATGAATTTATGTAATGAAATTCTAAAGTTAGACTTATTAGGTTCCTTTGGGGATAAATCTAATGTTTTCTCATAGTCAAGATGTTTATTAAAATGTCTGTTAACATTGTACTTCCTAATATAAAATATAAAAATTAATTACTTAATATGAAAGGAAATAATCTAAATATTCTTATAACCAATTAATCAATTTTACAAATATGTCTATGCTATAGTTAAGAAGTTTCCAGATATGTAACTTAGATAAATAAATTTATTTTTAAGTAAAAGTTGAAGTAAATATAACATCTATAAACTTCGTGCATATAACTAAAAGAAAATCAAATATACTCATGAATTTTTTAAATAGTTTTCCAATATATGAATTTTCATACATTAAGTTAAATTAATCATTTAGCTAATTAAAACTAAATGTGATATCTATAATTTATGCAAAAAATAATTAAAACAGAATTAAGCATGTGCATGAATTTGACAATGTAATAATTTTCCCCACTAGTAGTTGCTACTTTGAAACAGAGTAAAACATTTGCTACAATTTTTCCAAAATCTTCCTAAGATTGTCACTTGTATGTATTGATGAATAATATATACATACCGGAGGATGATCAATGTGCTCGGTATACCAGCGAAACAAGAAAACACCACCGTAGATAATACAAAAGCAAGGAACAAAGGTAGTTTATAACATTTGGCATCGCATGTCCCAGATTTAGCATCAATAGAATCACCTTGATCATCTGATATTATTAATCCATCTTTAATGCAAGAGCAATTGTAGTATACCTATGGATATGAAAGTAATCTTTTAGAAATATAGTCATAAAGCAAGAACTCTTACTAATGTAATGTACAATTAAATCAGTAACTTTAGGGAGACTAGCCAGTTTATTAGTAAATAGTCTTACTTAAATGAAACATTAGTGGTTAGCACAAGGCATTTTTGTTAATAAAGGATCATATATGTACATTTAATGATTCTTGGGGAAAATTCCACCAATTTAAGACACAGTACCAAAATATTTATAATCAGTTGATCAAATAATATTGGAAAGCTATATGAACCAACAATGAAGAAAAATACAAAGGGTGAAATGGAATTTTAGCTGGGATTTGGTAAACATGGTTCACTTAGTCAATTTTGGAGTCTTTATAGGAACATGTCAAAAAGAGTTTATTTATATGTAATGATGAGAGTACTGTTACTTACTGAAAAGAGAAAACACAATGCAGAGGGGCCATCATACTTTCAGGGCCACAAAAAAACCCTTAACTTTAATATATTTTAAAATCAAACAAAAACAATGAAATATAATAAATATATGATACTGAATCCAGTCTGGACCATATTTGTCTTCCTACCACTGCAGTTCGACACTAAATTTATTTGTTTAAGTGAAGGTAGGGGCTTGCAAAGATGAATGTCTAGAGTCAATGAAAGTCATGATGTAACCCTGAATGAGAATTGTTGAAAATAAGGGATAGTTGTTGTAGGATTGATAAATAGGAAGATGAATATGTTATTTTCTTAAAAAAAAAAAACAAACTAACAAAATTTGGAGAGAGAAGCCAGTTAGTAATTTATTAGTCTACTGAAAAGGTCCTAAATCAAAAAATACAAATTGAAAGAAATATGGAGTGTTTATCAATGAAGAACTAAGGAGGAAAAAGGTTTTTTTTTTTAAAGATTTATTTATGCATACAGAACTGGGGTGCAGGGGAGAGCAACAGGGGAGGTGAGAAGATTCACCAGAAACAGAGTGGAGAACAGAACAGGCAGATGGAAGTACACTGCTAAGGGGAGCAACGGGTGGGTCAGCTTTGGGGCTGGGGTGGGGGAGGATGGAACTCACACTGATGTGGCTGCAGCTTACCAGTTGTGCCACCAGGGAGGGTCCAAAAAAAGGTTTGGATCTGAGTGGCTTAGAAAAATGATGGTTCAAAATAGAGACATATACAATTGTATAATCAGAAAATTTTTATATGCCATTTGCAAGATTTAATATATTATTACAAAGAAAGCAAAATGATGAAAAATTTTAATTGACAAGGATAAATTTAGGTATGCATATTTTAGTCCCAGTAGATAGCAATAAAAATATCCAAAGAGATATAAGCAAAACACCAAAAGTTATATTAAAGTAAAAGAGGAACATATACATAAATCAAATAATAAAACTGAGAATTAGATTTAAATCCACTAGATTAATAATTATAATAGTTATCAGTAATCTAAAAACTCCAATTAAAATGGCAGAGATTGAAAGATTTGAAGAAAAAGCAAAGCCATATTATGTGTTGGTTATAGGAAGCGGCTTTAAACTTAAATAAAGCCACAAATAGTTGGAAAAGAAAATGATAGAAAAAAGTTACATCATAGAAACAGCCAGCAAATAAAGTTAGAGTAACTATTTCATTGGTAAATTGGACTATAAGACAAGTATTACTAGAGTTGGAAAGTACCATTTGTAAAGATAAAAGGAATGATTCATCAAGAAATGTAACAATTATCAGTGATTATGTACATATTAACAGATACTAAAGATATATGTAACCAAAATAGATAAATATACAATTGCATAACTAGATTTTTTTTTCAAATGCAGTGTTCAATTATATTACAAGGAAGGCAAAATGACAGGATTAATCTTTCTTAATTAAGAGAAGAATAAATAAATCACAGTAAAACTGCAAAAAAACAAAATCAAAGAGAACATCCCTAAAAGCAGGCAGGTATATAAAGTGAGAAAGTAGCATCTTTTAAATGCCAGAATGGGGTAGGGTAGCACTACTAATATAGAGTTCTATACCCATTGAGAAAGTGGTTTTCTTCAAAAAATGAAGGTAGGGCCCTCCCTGGTGGCGCAGCGGGTTAAAGCACTGCACTGAGAAGCTTAAGCCACTTCTGCATGAGTTCGATTCCCGCCTGCCCCGGAGGAGACCACATGGCGTGGCAGACCTCTCCTGACCCGCCCGCTGCTCCCCTCAGCAGTGTACTTAGATCATCTGCCTGTTCTGTTCCCCACTCTGTCCCTGGTGAATCCTCTCACCCTCCGCATTTCTGGCCTGTACCCCAGTTCTGTATGAATAAATAAATAAATCTTAAAAAAAAAAAATGAAGGTAAAGCATATGCATCCTAAGCCGTGCCAAGGAAAGGGATAGGTTATTGCCTCTGGTTCTCACCCATGTGCTTGCAATTGCAAGACTAGTCAGGCTCTGGATGAAACAATGGCATTTATTAATAAACAGGAGATTGGAGAAAATGAAAGCGTTTCTAAGGCCACAGGAGTCCCCAGAGACTGTCTCTGGTATCCAGTAGACCAAGACAAAGGCTGCTTATGTAAGAGGGCACTTTCCCATTGATGAGAGATTGGAGCTTGTGGCATACTGGGCTGCAGTGCATCAGGTTCCAACTCACAGTGGCAGCTGGAGGTGCTCACAGGTGTGGAGGTGCACTACCTCAGCCCACATCCACAGTCTGAAAGCCAGTCTGGACAGCACAGAATGCCACGTTGGACGCTGGAGGCAATAGCACTGGGATGATGTGGTGCCACAAGACCAGAAGTGGTGGGCAGCTCTCAAAGGTGGTCAGACACAGAGTGCCAGTCACTGGCAGCAATGCTGGTCAGCACAGGTCACCAGGATGTGGTAACAGAAACACCAGTGCTACAGCTCATTATGAGTTGTTGATATAAGCCAACAGCAAATGGTTCTTTTTAAGAGATACCTGGTCCGGGCCAACGGTGGTCATTGTAGCGTGTTAGTCAGAGCAGATACAGTGGTCTGGGATGGAGGCAGATACAGTGGTCTGGGATGGAGGCAGATACAGTGGTCTGGTCTTTGCAAAGATCTACATAGGTTTGGAAATCTGCAGAGGTCTAAATGTCTATGGAAGTCTGAAAAATCTTCAATGTTTGCAAAGGTCTGCAAAGGGTCTGTGGAGATAAATGCTGAATCCACTTCTGAAGCTATCTTATGTATCTTATTTGGAGGCTGTCTGCTGCATGCTTCCCTTCAAAGGCTGTCTGTTGAACCCCATGGAGACTATCTGCTAAATCAGTACTCCTCTTTGGAGGCCATCTGCTGAATGAATCCAAGCTGGTAGCTGCCCTACTTACATCCTCCCCAGAGTCTGAACCCTTATTATCTGATTGGCCCACTTTTCACTTCTAACTACTTGACTGGTGTCAGTTAAGCAACAATCAATCAATCAACTAGCTCCATCTTCAACTCATATGATGAACTTATCCCCATGAATGGAAAAGGAGAAACTGATTGACTCACTAAGCTCAAACCTGATTGGTCAATTTGCAACTCTGTGACAGATTCAATCCTGCCACCAGATGACTTGCACTGAGGCCAGCAAATGCTCTTCAGCCCTCACTTGGAGCTATGGTCAGACTGGTCACAGTGAGGCAGAGGCAGATTGCACCCAGTTCACCTCAGAGGGCTGGGTACAACAAAGCACGGGGGGAACTTAAGCAAGGCTGAAGCATGGGTACCAGCAGTGGCAGGTTGTGTCACCACTAGGAACCCATCACGCTGGCCTAGAATTCTGCTGACCACTCTCCCTGCAGCTTTAAGAAACTACAGCCTCCAAGCTACCCCAGCTGGACTTAATACTCCTCCCAGTGGCCCCAAAGCAGAAGCCCTGGTGCGTGGGTGGGTTGCCTCCACTATTGCAGTCCTTGGGTTGGCCTGAGGGTTGCTGCAGCACAGAGAAGTGAAACTTTTACAATTCCAATGGGGGCTGCATGTGGGGTAGGAGAACCACTGTTGCCCACTAACACAACCCACCACCAGTGCCAGGCAACCACTGTTTGACTGCAGCACAGGCCAGCAAGATGCATCATCAGGGTGTGGTGGGGCTGCCCACAGGCAGTGTGCTCAGGTGGCTGGGCACCAATACGGCTGCCATGCAGTATATTGGTCTTTGGGAAGAAGGAAAATAATCCCATATGAAAATGTAAGGAAATGGGCAAATGTAAGTGTTATTAACTGTATATAGTAATAATAGTGTTATTTAAAATTTATAAAGAAATAAAATATATGACATTTATAACACAAAGGTGGTAGTAAGTAAATTAAGTTAAAAATAAGTTATTTTAGAGATCCTGCAGCCTGATTTCTTATAATCCTTAATGTTATGAATGAGATTGACTTTCCTATTATTCTATTGAATGAAGCTCTTATTGGACTAGAGCAGCCTCTGGACAAACCTCTGATCCAACTATTCTAAATGAAGCTACATCACTTATTGAAAAAAGTCATAGAGAAAAGCATACTTTTTTTTTCCATCTCTATATAAGGACATTTGAAAATTTTAGCATGGATAAGAATAATGATAAAAATTGCCCAGGTTACTGATATGAGCCAGATGATCTATTTTTGGTTCAGGAAGTATAACTTTTTTATTCTCTCTTCCACTCATAAAAACTGTAGCCAGAAAGGAAACTTTAAATGTGGAAATCAGCCTCTTTTTCTAAAATGTCTAAATCCTGGGTCCTAATGAAATTTCTAAACCCTGGGTGCTAATGAAACAGGAGAAGCTGAAGTTGAAGTCCATTATTTAGCTAAGCTCCAATGTACAAATGCATAGCAGGGTGTTAGTTGCATTGCATGACAAAATAGGATCATTTGCCTGAAGGTTGGCGGGAAGCACAGGGAATTAAAGGAACTTGATAGCAATGACCCTAAAGATGAACAAATAGAATTTTAAAATGAGTCCCCATTCATGTAAATATCAAAAGACCATGATTCATTCGATTTTGTTATTTTTTTCTGTGCTATATAAATCTTCTCTTCCTTTTCCCAAAAGTCTGTTTATGCTAACACCAAAGTCTGTTTATGCTAACACCACAGCTATGCTGATTTCCACATTTAAATGAACGTGGAGGAATATAGAGACAGCAATAAGGTATAGGTTGGCCTAAGGAAAAATTGAATTGAATTGCTTAGCCTAAGGGAAAATCAGGAAAGTGATCAAAAGGTTAGTAGTGGTCAAAATATTGGGGAGGGAAATATCGGCGTTCAAGCTTTTTGAGGACTGGGCACTGTTTGATAGGACAGAACTAAGATAAATTACATATATGGATGATAAATACTCATACTGCTTCTTTTGATTTTGTGGTGGTAAGCTGTAGATAAAAGTCACTCGGTGCTTTACATCCATAAAATTGAGATGATATAATATATGGAGGCTTTAATATAGTTGTTGGCTTTAATACTCCCAATTCCCATCACCCCTTTTTCTGTGGCCACATAAAACAGATATTTTCTTGGTTTTAAAATTTAAAAAAGGAAAATAAAGAGGATTATAGTGAGGGTGAAGTAAAATGGAAATATCATCTATAAATTAAACTCCTTACTAGGGAGGGCAAAGTACAATAAACAATAATTACCATACGATGATTTATTGTTTTAGATTGCACACAGCCTGCATAGCAAGGAGAGAAATATCCAATATCATCTCTTCCACATACAGTAGAATACAATGAAGATGAGCAGTGACAATGAGAATTGCAAGGAGCGGTCAGGTTCCCCAACTTCCCTGTACTGTAAAAAACAAAACAAAACAAAACAAAATGAATTAATTATACTATGTTCTACTTTTTAACATATCTATAAAGATATAAGGAGATCCATAGCAATATGATGACTAAAATTACCACTAACAGCTTTATCAAGGTATAACTGATACAATAAACTTAAATACATAATCCAGATGTTTTGGATATGTGTATACACTTGTGAAGCCATCACCACAATCATGAACTTCATCATGACCACAAAATTTTCCTCATGATTGTTTTCATTTTTATTTGTTCTTAATTTTATTAATCTTCAAGTTGTCCATATAACTATATAATTTGGGGAGTGCATCTTTACCCCTCCCAATGTGCATATGCTTCTACTGGAAGCCTCCACCGGAGCCCCAGAGCCACGACCCTGTCATCTCCCCTCTCCTATTCCCACCCCCCAACATACCCCTCCTGGCTGGTAGCCAGAACATTTTCTCACCAGCACCTCATGACCCATTTTAATTCCTCTGTCCTGGTATTTGCTGATATACAGTCAGCCACTACTCATTTGTTCATACAAGTGTTTGTGTATTTATGGGTATAGTTTGGGGCCCATTGGTTTGAAATTTCTGTAATTTAGAATATACTACTTAACTGTTATGGTTGTACAATAAATTTGATGTCTGGTAAGGAACTCTTCCAGACTGATTTTTTTAAGGCAGTGTATTATTCTTGAACTTTTGCTTTCTAAGTGACTATAACAACAAACTTTATTTAAAGATTTTAATTAGCATTGCAAGGTATGTATGTTAATTTGTAAAGTGGCAGCTTTGTGATATTTGCATAAACATGTTATAGCTCTCGTCTTATTTCCTTTTTTTTTTTTTCTGTTATAAAGGACTAGAGGGAAAAATCCTTGATTAGTCCTTGAAATAACTGAGGCAGTTGGTTTGTTGGTTTGGGCTACTCTTGGGTGCTGCTAAAGTCTTCCTAAGGAGCTTGTGAACAACCTATAGCCCAAGCAGGTGAATAAGACTCCTTTCAAGCTTTAGGCAAAATGGCTGGACTTTTCTCCCACACTCTGCTTAGCACAAGCAGCTCTCCCAGCTACAATTCTCTGGTGATTTCCTTGGAAACCCAGTTAAACATCTTTAACCTGTCTGGTGAGTGCTGTGGAACTCTGAAAACACCAAGGGGTGAACGTAAAACTTCCCTTCTCTGTACTGTGTTGTCTTTTGCTTTTATTTCTATAATCTGCAGGCCATTGCAAAGCTCCCCCCAAATTACTAGGACCCTGTCAGCCTGTTAAAAACCACGAAGTAGGCACTGGCCTAAAGTCTCACGGGAGAGACTGTATGGTGCAAAGTGAAGTACCCTCCATCTCTTTAGAGGGGGTTCATTGCCCTCTTCTAAATCACTCTGTTTCTGCTGTGGCCATCCATCTTAGTCACGAGTCCCTGTGTGTGAACCCAAGAACTGAGAAAGGGCCCACCTGGTTCTGGGGCTCAGGACCTGTTCTACAAAACCCTTGTTCATTATTCATAGTTGGTGGAAAATATTTGAATATCTCATTTTCTGTGCTGTGATCTTCTGTAAACAAATATTAAAATACTAAATAGATGCTAATACTATCATGCATGTTTCTAAATTTAGCCTTTATTTTTTAAATTACCTTAACTGTCATAACAAAATGTGGATACTTTTTCTATACTATCTTAGCAGTGATGATTTTTAAGTGGTAAAATATATTTCATTTTTACTGGGTCTCTGATTCTTTTCAAAATCACTAAACCTTTTTATATTTATTGTAATTTTTTACATCATTTATCATTTTACTGATGGATGAGTTGAAATTCTTAGAATATAATTCTTTAGCTTCTTCCTGTGTATCAGTTGATTCACATCTTTGATGTATTATTGCTTGATTGTACTAGCAAATTATTTTGAACTCATCCTTATATGAATTATTATCACAAATTAGAACTCACAAGAAGTTATAAAATGGCATGGAAAGGACTCTTCTTTCAACATTCCAAAAAGTAACACCTACCACACTTTTATAACAGAATTTTAAAACCAGGAAGTGCACACTATTAAAATCTAGACTTTATTCAATTTTAGCATTAAACTGTAGGCTTTATTCAATTTTAGCAGTGATTCATGGACCCATCATATGAAGAGGGGTTGGGGGAGAGAGGAGATGTTCAAGTAGGTATGTAATGATAGCTCATTGCCGTTTAAATTATTTTTAATAGCTTAATGTGTTTGAACACATTACACGAGATTATTTGCTATCTGTACATGTTCTTTGGTGAAATATCTATTCTAAGTTATCTACTTAGAATATTGCTCTTTTGAAACTTTTGAGTTTGAAAAGTTCTTAATATAATATATATTAAATTCTGTTGTCAGATATATAGCTTGCATACATTTCCCTTGGTCTGCACTATGTTATTTTTATCCTGTTAGCCTGGTACTGTACATAACAAAAAAAAAACTAAATTTTGATGCAGTTCAATTTATCACTTTTTTTTTACAGGATTACACATTTGTTTTTCTGTATTACTTTTAAAAATGTTTACTGTTTTTATATTTAAATCTACACTTTACATTGAGTTTTTTTTTTTTTGGTATAAGAGTTACGTTTAAGTCAAAGAAATTTGGGTTTTATTACTGGGTTTTTCCTTTTATTTGCCTATGATGTCCAATTCTACAGTTACATTTGTTGATATCATTATCCTTTCTTCAATGAAATATTTGTATTTAGTCTGCTGCATTTTGGTGGGCTTATTTCTGGTATCTTTATTATTTTGTATTTACAGCATGTACATTTCCTCCACCAATGCCACATTATCTTGACTACTTGAAAGAGCTATATAGTAAGTCTAATAATAGTTTCTCACATTTTATTCCTTTTCAAAACTGTTCTAAGCATTCTATTGCCAATGCATTTCTAAATCCTTGCTTGGATTTCGATAGGATTTTTGTGGATTTACAGATCATTTGAGGAAGAACAGACACCTTTAGCATTGAGTCTTTCAATCCATGAATAGATGCATTTCCTCATTTAGTTAGATCTTTGATTACATTCATTAGCATCAGTTTTTTCTAGCATATACTTCTATACATGTCCATTTAGATTTATATCTATGTATTATAGTTCTGATTGATTATAAATAACATTTTGCTATTAATTTTGATTGTCATGTTAACTGCACCTATACAAACACAAAACTTTAACATGTTATCTTGTGTCTGGTGAAATTACTAATTCACTTGGTAGTTCTAGTGGATGTGATTCTCTATCTTAAGAAAGAACATTCAGTCCTACAGAACTAAGTATGGTGTTAGCTATAGGTGATTAGCAGATTTCTGAGGCTACATTGACTTCTCTCCATTAGTTCTAGTTAGAGCAATAAGACAAGAGTAAGACACACAAGGAATTCAAATAAGGAAAGAAGAAGTAAAACTATCCCTATTTGCAGACCATATGATGATATACATAGAGAACCCCCCAAACAACAAACTAATCAATATAATCACCCAGCTTAGTAAAGTAGCAGGATACAAAATCAACACACAAAAATCATTGCCTTCCTAGCTGCAAACACTCACTCTGAAGAAATAAATAAAATCATCCCTTTTATAATTGAAACAAAAAATCCAAATACTTGAGAATAAACCTAACAAAAGAGGTGAAGGACTTATGCAAAGAAAATTACAAAACATTGTTAAAAGAAATAGAAGGTATAAAGAAATGGAAAGACATCCTGTTCATGAATTGGAAGAATTAACATTATCAAAATGGCCATCATCAAAATTAACATTTCTTGAAATTTGAGGGTATATTTCTAATTGTTCTCATTAGAACCATGATTCTGCCAAGGCTATCACATTGTAGCTAGAAGAGGAAAATTTATTTTCTTTACTAATTTTATTAACTATTCATTTGCTTATTTATTTCATTCACAATTCTACTTCTGTTCTTTTGTATTTAGCATCAGGTTTTGCTTAGAGATATGAGCCTTTTACATATTTCCCCTAACAGAGGTATCACTGTGTACTGTTTGATGTACTTCAGTCTTATTTTTTGATGTCTATAAAAAGGCAGATATACTAATTCAGGAGCACAAGGTTACACTGACCTTGTACAGACAGTTGGTTCTGTCTTTTAGTTATGTCCCACTTTATACAGAGTTAGACTTTAAGGTTATGAATAACTTCAATTTTTTTTCTTTTTTACATTATAAATCTTAGACAGTCATATCACAAGCAATACTTATAATATTTCTGTCCTTAATATGAAATTCAAAACTATGTTTTATACTTCTTTTACATGTGCAATAATTTCTAGAAGGATATGAACACTTAAGAGTTAGTAGATAAATAATTATTAATTAACAAATACATTGTTGCATCCAGCTGTAAAAATCTAATATAAAGATTGTATTTACCCAGCATAATCTTCATTGATTCCAGCAAATGGTACTGAATTGCAGTGTACAAAAAATACAAAGACAAGCATGATAATGGATACAGCAGATGTAATTATTGTAAATCTCATAAGGGCTTTACAAGACATTTCTAATTTGGAAGCAATGATCCCTCCAAGTAGCTGACCAATTGCACCTCCTGGAATTAAAATTATTCCTAAAAGAAATAAGGAGGAAGGAAAAACACAGTTAGAAAACAATAAACTAAAAGAGCACCAAAATAAGTTAGCAAATAAGTAAGTCCGTACATTGACACAATCCCATTGCTCTGAATATACAAAAATATAGATTTAAATAAAAAGACAAAATAAAAACACTTAAAGAATTGATAAATATCTCAACAAACCTGAACTTTAGGAGAAATACAAATTTATGTGTAGGACTGAAGTCACAAGTTTAATGGGCTATTGGGCAGTGATGATTTCTATACGGTAATGACATCTAAAGTAAACCCAGAACTTTAACTATGCAGAAGATGAGAACTGATTTTATTCAGAGCCAATATTGAATAGCAGCCTAGATTTGTAGTTTAGATTAAAATGCATGCCCATACAGGTAAGACTTCAGAATTACCAAGAATTAGACTAAACTACCATTGATTCTGTGTATGGATGTGTAATGTTAATGTTCTCACAACAAATTGGGATTCCAGAACAGCCATTATGATAAATGCTTTCTTTCTTTTCAATCAAGCATAAGAAATATTAGAAAGAAACAAACACAAGGAGAAGATTAAAAATGAGCATGAAGAAAAGAAAAAAGCAATCAGAAAATAATTATGTGAAGATAAATTCATACAAATTAAATTCATATATTGATATGATTGCCTCTGTTCCAAACATGTATAGATTTAAATAGGAATACGGGGAGAGAAACTTACAAATAAGGTAATTTTAGATTGTCTAAAAAGATAAATGACAGTAAATTTTCTATGAAAATTTAGGAAAGAAACAAATTAAGAGAAGGGACTAAAAGAGAACAAGAAAGAAATTTGGATTGTTTTAAATATAATTATTAAAACAGACTCTCCAAACAGACTAGAGACATTTGAAAAGTGATTTAACAAACTTGAAGAGAACATTGTGTTATTAATACAATATATAATAAAAAAGAAATAGGACTGAAAGAAGAATAACCAAAAGTTAGCAGTTAAAAGACAATGGGTGCACATGAAGAAATCTGATAAACTCTACCTTAGGCAGATGTGTAATAGCTAAATCAAAAAATAGTATAGCCCTCTAAATAGTATGTAGCCATGATAAAATGTGATAAAAGTGACATTATACCTTTCTGGTCTTCCTTCCAAATTCTATTGCTCTTGTTTTACCATGAGAAAAAAATTAAACAACTTTCAATTAAAGATCATTCTTTAAAAACATTCTCTGAGGAACAGCGCTCCTCAAAACCATCAAGGTGGAAAAAAAAACAACAACAACAAAAAAAACAAATGAAGCCTGAGTAGGCGCTACTGAGAGAAACTTAAGGAGACATGATAACTAAATTCAACAGAACAGAAAACAACAATATGTAAAAGTGAAGGACATCTAAATAAAATACTGATTTTTATTAATGATGTGTTGATACTGGTTTAATTGCAACAACTCTACCATACTAGTGTAAGGCGTTACCAAAAGAAGAAACTAGGTGTTCATTAAATGGAAACTCTATTTTATCTTCAAAATTTTTTTGTAAATCAAAAAGTTTCAAAAAATTAAAGTTTAATTAAATAAAAAACCACAGGGAGTAGGATTAAAATCTCAACAGAATATTTCACAGCACTTAAAAAATATAACAAATTGAATACCAAAGAAACAATATCTGGAAAAATTGTAGCAAAGAATGAGAAATAATTAAATAATAGTCCTGGGAATAAAAGTGCATGCTAACTACTGAGAAAGATTAAAAAACAAATAACAAAATTTTGTTGTCTTTTCACATTAATAAAACAGGGAGGCCTCATAACATCAAGTAAAGCAAAAACTAAAAGCTGCCAGAGGCCATATTACCTGAAAAGGAATGATAGCTACAGCTAGTAAGTTTAACAATTCAATAGCTGAGTCCTTAAAGACCAGCCTAAAAGGAAACAAAACTGGAAAATTCAACAAATACACATAACTTCCAATCAGCTGTAATGCAAATATTAGTGTACAGAATAGTACACAAATCACAATTGCCTAGATATTGATAAATTTTCAAACTGAACCTATCTACATTACTACCACCTAATACAAAATCAAACAAATACTCTTTTTCATGTGTATGAGAGGATTTTATAAACTATTGGTCATAAAATATGTATACATGTATTCAGAGGGAATAGGGGGTAGATGGAGAGAGGAGGCAGATAGGGTACAGGCACAGGTGGTTTGGTGGGGAGTTAGTGGAGCCGGTGCACATGTAGAAGAGGAAAATGGAGCCCCCAAAATTAAAATAAAAACTAGCAAAATACTGTCTGAGAAAAATTGGATAAATTTATTATTCTCACTTGCTATTGACTTAACAGAGTGCCAAACAACCTGCTAAGTGTAGTCATGGGAAAATTTGGTCAAAATGGCTCTTGACCTTGTGTCTTATTTTTGGCTCTACAACTATTTACAGTCTGAAATGGTGTGACTTCTCCTTTATCACAAAATCTACTCAGGTATAAGTTGAAAGGCAGTGTTTTTGCATATATTCACATTTGATTTTGTATTTGTCCACTTTAATTTCCTTCTTTCTTTTTTTTTATTATTACTAATCAACTTTTCACATTTGTATAATCTTTTTACTATCTTTCAGTGATTATCCTAAAAGAAACAGGACACATGATTTTTACAACATAAAATAAAGGATTACATTTACCATTTTATCATTAATGCTAGAATCCTTAAGTATTTCATTCCTTTTGCAATCTTTTTAGAGTGCTCAACCCTCCATACCTAGTAAAACTGGAGATGGCCAAAGTCATATTCAGTGTCCCAACCTAGGTCAAATTTTATAAATATGCACAGAAGACATGTAAGTTATATTCATTACTGCATTGCTTGAAAGAGTGAAAATCTTGGAAGCAACTTAATGCCCATTAATGTACCAATGGATAGAGAGGCACATTCATAAAATAGAAGTGTAATTCAAATGCATTAAATAGACACAGCAACATAAATTGGACAAATTTCATTTGAAATTTGATAATTTGATAATTTCATTTGAAAGCAGCCAAAGAGTATCTACAGATGATTCATATATTTTAGAAAGAGACTATAGAGAGCATACAAAGAGTAAACATGTACAAGTGTGTAAGAAGGATGTATTCTGAATTTAAAAGGTGGGATAAGGAAGGAAGAAAAATTAGATGAGAGAGTGCTGACAATGTTTATTGTGTTTTAAAATATTAATGCAATGATGACAAAGTGCACGTATTTTTAAAAATTGAGCAAATAGTATTTAGGTATTCACATTTTTTTGCAAATTAATTACTCCCACTTCTGCTTACATGGACACAGCTAATTAACTCATGTAACAAACCTTTATAAAAACCTCACAATTAGAACAATCAGCAGATAAATTTACCTGTAAGAGTGGTTGCTTCACGAGGTGTTATTATAAACTGATTTTCAATATATCTGGGCAAAAATTCAGCACCTGCAATAAGAACTAAAGATTCCGATGCTCTGCACAGAGCTAGGAACACAAAAATTGGAGTTTTCATCAGACTCTGAAATAGAAATAAATTGCATATGATTATTTGATTTTAATAAAGGTATAAATATGCTCACCCATATGTTAATGACCAAGCCACAAATATTTTACATTTTCCTATCTAAACTGTTCTCCTATCTAAACTGGTTACACACATATAAATCCAAACAGAAATTTATAATTTACTATTATACACATGCTATAAAAGCATATGTGTAATCCACTTATATTTAGAATCTGATTTATAAAATTACAAGTTGATTACCTAACAACATACCCATTATTTTAATTTGTGGATAGAAAAGTTTGCTAGAAAGAGTCAGGAAAATAGATGTCACTATTCAAGTGCCTAGAATTTCCCCTTACTTTTGTTTGTATATACTATCTAAGTAAATCTTTTTATTTAACTAAAAAACAAAGCAAAGACATTAAAAGTAGCAATCAAGAAAAATCACTAGAATTTCAAAGTTGTATATTCTCCTTTTACAAAGCCCTTATACATAAACACTGAAGCCATTTAAATTCTGCCTTTTTAAATTAATCAATTAATGGTAATATAAATTAAAGGTTTAGCAATGGCAACATTGATTTACAATGTTGTATATGATTCAGAGGAGTATGATTTACAACACTGTAGCTGATTCAGAGACTTCTTCAGTCATCACACCTTGTATACCACCAAGACACCCATCCACATTCACCACAGTCCTTTGGGTCCTGTTCCTATGATACAGTCTGTTATCCATTAGCAGTCTCACAGTAATGAATAACACCTCATATTCATTTGATTTTTTTAAAGCTCACAAAGGTCTTTCATAATATAATTCACTGACATATCTTTGTTCACTGGAGTTCTGTATATGATTGTCTTCCCAGCTAATAAGGTGTAAGACTTAAGGCATGAAATAAAGAAAAAAATGTAAAACTGTCATGGTCTCTGTTTTATATGTTTAAAGGTAGCTCCCCCCTTATAAAATATTCTTTACTTCCTTTCAGTCAGTTTTAAATTCATTTTTTTTACATCTTCTATTTCCCTAGTCTCTAACAATTAACTTTTAATCCTTTTAAAATACATTTCTAATTCATCATCTTATAGCTACAGTGATGGCTATTGTTCTGATTCACTGTTCTACTTTCCATTCTCCAAGCTTAAACCACTCCTACATCATAACATTTCACCTTATAGATACTATAATTATAAAAATGTCAATTTTTTTCTCTGTTCTATGACTGTATCTTTTACTTTACATTGGTCCATTTTATCTATTTTAAAAGATAAAAATTAATTTAATGACATTTTTGTCATATTCCCGCGAGATCTTGAAGTTTTACTTTAAGTCTTTTACTTTTTTTTAACTTTACCAGTTTTTTCTAATATACGAATAACATAATGAAATATGTTACTAATAGAGAGACTCCATTCTAAAAGTAGCTACTTCCTTGGTTCTCTTTAATAAAAGAATAAGAGGTTTTTTGTGATTTTTTTTTTTCAAGAAAATCTATGCCTGAAAAATCAGTTGGTGTGTTTTCAGTAACATAATAGTCAGTAAGTCATATGTTGATGTGCTACATTTTATTGAATGAAATGATTTTCTACATTCCATATACTAGGGTTTTTTAACAGTCATTGGACTTCAAATAAGCAATAAAGTAAGTCATGAACTAGGAAGTGTTGAACTAAAGAATAGTAAAGGAAGATAATATGCCTTTATTCAATCAAGTTCCTCACACCAGTGCATCTAATTTTCATAATTTATAGTTGATAACCTTCTTTTCTTATTAAGATATGTCTTCTTATAAAGTTTTCCCCTAATTATTTTTGGACAGTTTTCTTCCCTAATCTAAATTCAAAAATATCCCCAGTGAGCATTCATGTCATTTATATATTTATTGAGGTTTTACTATACATTATACACTGATCTATATACTTTACATTATTGTGAGAAAAGTACATAGGTTAATGTATCCATTCTACTAAGAAACTCATCTTTGGCATGAACAAGGTAAACAATGGAGGTTTTTTTAACTGAGTAATTCCCTAACTATGACTTTTTATGCTTTTGTTTTTCATTTTCTTTTTTCTGCATTTCAACCTGAGATAGCATTACAAGCAAGAGCCTACTTACATGGGCTTTTCTTTGGGATATTACTTATCTAGATTTTAGAGCAATTGTTTCCCCTTACGAAGTTTACTTATTTTATGGCTCCAGAAGCTCAGATAATATTTATGCTGGAAGATTTTTTCCTCTCATACAAAAAGCTGTCAATAGTCTTTATTTTTATAAATGCCAAATGGCTCTTTAATTGGGTCAAACATACTACAAGTGAATAAAATATTCAGACTATTTCTGTTATCCAAGGATGAAATTCCTTAAAACAGCACTGAAATTATTATGCCTTTTAAATTCTTCTTAACTCAATCAATTTTTTGTACTTCCTTCATAGAGGAAGGAATGATTTGAAGGGTAAATAAAGTATTCTTGGTTGGCATTTGTTGAGTTGGAGTTTGTTGAACATGTCACTCTATTTTCTTCTTGACCATAGTTTTAAGAAATGTCTGATGTCAGCCTGATTGGTTTTCCTTTACAGGTGACCGGTAATCTTCCCTCTTGTCAGTTTAGTTATTTTTTTCCTTGCCTTGGATGCTTGAAAGCATTACTATTATGTGTTTTGCTGTAGTTTTCCTTTCACTGTGTAAGTTGGTGTTCTTCTAGCTTCCTGTGTGTCTACTTAAATCTCCTTCTTCATGCTTGAGAAGTTCTCTTAATTATCTCCTTGAATAATCTCTTGGTTCCTTGGCCTCCTTCCTCACCTTCTAAGATTCCTATAACTTTTATATTTCCTTCCTAGTCTTGCAGATCATTCTTGAAGTGTTTCCTCGTTCTTTTTTCCTTTGTACTTCCCTTTCTTTCTATTTTTGGCTCTTTTTATATATGTATCTTCCTGAGTACTGATTTGTTCTTCCATTTCATCAAATCTTTTTTTTCACTGATTTTCCTGGAATTATTTAGCTGTTCCATTAATCTTTTAATCTCATGCTTTTCCTTCATTTCTTTAAGGATTCAGTTTCATTTTTCTGTTCATTAATTTTATTCCTCATATCATCTTTCCTTTTGTTTTCTTTGATTTTTAATCATGGAAACTTTAAATTCTCTATCTAGCAGGCAGAGAAGTTTTTGTTGTGTCATTGTTCTTAAATTTTGGTAGCTGATTTCCTACTTCTTCATGGCTTGATTGGTTACTGGCATTTTTCCTTCTCCATGTTGTTTATTTTCTAATCTGTTCTAAGTGTTGGGCCACTGTGCCTCTGTTACTGGCAGGCATCTCTTTGGAATACCTCTTGTGGTGTGCCTGGAACTGGTGGCCAGATTGAGGCCGGCACTGTCACACCACAAGGGTACTGATGCTGTGGATATGTTTATAGATGCTTTTCCTGAAGATCTCCTCTCTTTGCATTTACGCAGTTCCAGAAGAGAATCATGAGATCCCTGCTTCGAACAGCCCCATGGTCAGGCCCACACTTTATTGGGACCCCGCATTCACCTTGATAGTGGAATCCTCCCACTCTCTACTCAGTTCCATGAGGGGAAGTGGGGCCTCCAGCAGCCTTGCCTAGTCATGAAATTTCCTGGCCACCTTTGTTTGTAGAGTCCTGCCCCTTTCCACTCAGTTTCAGAAGAGGATTGTGGGATTCTTGGCTTCTGACAATGGCACTCAAATTATATAAAGCACAGTAGGCTTACAGCACTGCCACTCACTTTTGATTATTACTTTGTTTTTGATTACTTTCTAACAGTGTGTTAGGCATCACAAGTTTACTTATGGCTTTTCTAAACTTCCTTCTTCCTAGGATAGGCACCTATCTTACACTAAAAATATTGTGCAAGTTGGCCCTCCCTGGTGGCGCAGCGGGTTAAAGCACAGCACTGAGAATCTGAAGCCACTTCCGCATGAGTTCGATTCCCGCCTGCCCCCTGCCGGGAGGAGACCACATGGCGAGCCAGACCTCTCCTGACCCGCCCGCTGCTTCCCTCAGCAGTGTACTTCGTAGATCTGCCTGTTCTGCTCCCCACTCTGTCTCTGGTGAAGCTTCTCACCGTCCCTGAGCCTCTGGCCTGTACCCCAGTTCTGTATGCACAAATAAATAAATCTTTAAAAAAATAAAATAAAAAAAAAATAAAAAAAAAATAAAAAATAAAAAATATTGTGCAAGTCAATTACATATACAGAACCTATTGTGCATATGTGCCTTTATAAATAAGAAGAAAAGTCTCTAATAAGCCAGCTCAGTGATTCGCAAAATATAATCTTAATTTCCAGTGTTTTGAAATGGTTGTTGACATTTTTTTCCCCAGTTCTAGCCACTGTTTTCAGTAGCTTATTTTTTTCAAATGTCTTCACTTTGATAATATGGAAGTCCCATCTTCTAATAAACTTTAAAAAGGACTAAGATATCTTTTAACTATCTACCCAGATGGGTATTAATTAGAAGTCTAAATTATTACCTAGATTTATATTATTATGTATCTTAACAATGTTCAAAGCACTCCATTTTGAACACATGAAATATTGGAATTAGCTTATTTGTACTTTTCTGACATTAATTTTAAAAAGTAAAGCACTCATGTTTAAATTATCTGAAAAATGTTTTTTAATAATTGTATCTTATTTTTGTCAATATGAAAGAGGTTAAACTAATTTTTTCTGTATTCTTAAAATCTACAAATATAAATATTTTGGTAAAATATTATAAAAATTAAAAGTAAATAAAAATCTGAGTGAAGGATAATCCACTAATAAGCTTGATAAAAAGTAAAATTTAATATTTGAATGAGAACATGTGAACAAAATTTCTGATTTTATCTGACATTCTATTCAGCTTAAGAAGAAATAAATGTACATAATAAAAGCACTGTATATTAATAAGTTTATATATTATATAACCATATATTGCATTATATTATATATTTATATTATACTACATTATATTTATTTATGTTATATTATATAATACCATACTTTGAATAGATTATGAAATCATTAAGGACAAAGAAGTTCATTTTGCTAGATTTATATAAAGTAAGATTTGAGAAAGAGGTTTTTTTTTCTAATGGAAGAGAAGAATATTTGAAGTAATGAAATTAGCATCCACAAAGAACTATATGTATCTAGGAAAGAGCAAATGGCCAAAATACACAAAAAAGTAGGGATAAAATTCTGAGATAAAGTAGGAAAATTTAGTTGTTGCTATTGCAAAGTATCTCAAATTTCCATTAGAAGAGTATAAATTCACCAGAAAGTAATCTGGAAAATTACTTGAAAAAATTTCTGTGAATAATGTAATTTTGCAGGCAACATAAAGGATGAGATCATGAATAAAAGATGATAAAACAAATTGAAAATAGAACTATATGTACAAGTTGCATTTCTTAGTTCCACTAATAATGCTTATATCGTAGGCATTATTTCCCACCCAGAGAAATAAAGATTGTTATCTATTTGATATTGACATTTTCCCATAAGATGTGATGTTTATGAGAATATTTAAATTCTAGAAATCACTTTGAAGTTACTTAGACTAAATAAATAAGATGTCATGTACTTGGGAGTCATCTAACAAAATGTCTTATTATTTATTTAGGGAAAAAATAAACAAAAATAATATGAAAGTAAAATTTATAGGCCCTCCCTGGGGCACAGCGGGTTAAAGCACAGCACTGAGAATCTAAAGCCGCTTCCGCAGGAGTTCAATTCCCGCCTGCCCCGGAGGTGACCACATGATGTGGCAGACCTCTCCTGACCCACCAGCTGCTCCCCTCAGTAGTGTACTTTGTCAATCTGCCTGTTCTGTTCCCCACACTCTGTCTCTGGTGAAGCCTCTCACCGCCTGAGCCTCTGGCCTGTACCCCAATTCTGTATGCACAAATAAATAAATCTTTAAAAAAAAAAAGTGAAATTTATAAAAAAAAAGTAGAAAGGAAATCTTGGCACCAGTCTCTGACACTAACCAAGTTCTCAGCAATGCCACTTAGGTAAGATGGGTCCTATTTTCCATTTGTAAAGTAAATAGTTCAATTAAGACATCAGAAGTTTCATTAAGATTTAAATTGAGGGCCCTCCCTGGTGGTGCAGCTGGTTAAAGCACAGCATGGAGTAGCTAAAGCCACTTCAGCATGAGTTCAATCCCCATCCTGGAGGTGACCCACATGGCACTGCAGACCTCTCCTGACCCCACTCACTGCTCCCCTCAGCAGTGTGCTTTGTCAGTTGGCCTGTTCTGCTCCCCACTCTGTCTCTGGTGAAGCCTCTTACTGCCCCTCACCTCTGGCCTGTACCCCAGCTTTGCATAAATAAATAAATCTTTAAGTAAAAAAAAGAAAAGATTTAAATTAAACACATGGTCACTATTTTCTTAAATTAAATATTAGAAAATTGTACTTGTTAACTACATTCACTTGTTCATGTAAAGTATTTTACTTCACCCAAATAGCAGAAAATAGATCCTTGAAACTTGTTCCAAATTCCTTATCTTTAAGTATGTCAAGCTGTGGCTGTTTCAGTTTGGCAGCTTTTATCTTTGCTGTACCTATATGTTAAAAAATAAATGAATTTCATGTTTAAATAGCTAAAATACATATATAAACATGTACACATTTTAATAAACAAGTGAGTTATTTTTGAACAAACTGAAGTTAATCTAAGTAAAAGTAACATTCTTCTAACACAATCCTGTCCTAAAAACATCCTGTGATAATGAAAGATTTACATAACTGAACTGCCCAATATTGTAGCCAAGATATATAAGCGACTACTAACTACTACAATCCAGCTTCCATGACTGAGTATATGGATTCTTAATTTAATTTAAATATAATTAAATTATATATGGGTGTAACTACAGAATTTGATAGTGTAATCCTAAAATATAAAATACTTTTTTAAATATTACTAAAAATATTTGTGCCAATCAGACATAGGACTTGATATCTCTAATGTTATATATATTGTTCAGTATTTCCTAAAGCATTTAACAGTTTATTACTTCATCTTACAGCAATTATATGAGGTAACACATGTATTAAATGATATGTAAATAGACTTTTCAAAGAAAACTTATGAAGCTTATATCTAAATTTTTTCTAATGACAACAAAAATATGTATTAATGAAAGTCTGATATAAAAATTAAATAATACATGGCTGAAGGTGAATTAATTTGTTCAAGTAATATGAGGCTATGACATTGTTAGCTCCATGATAGAAAGAAATGTAGCTTATTCCTGAGAACGGAAGATGGGAATGAGGGTGGGGGAAAAAAACTACCACTATCTTTTAATGAACTACATTTTTTTATCGTCACCTTGTAGAGCGGGTGGAAATAACAGCAATGGTATGAATGTAGACCATGAAGTAACTGTGACAATCACATAGTTAAGCCACCAAGTCTGATGCCAGGATTGACCACTAATGTTGCTTTTACTGCTTTAATAGGGAAAAATAAAAGCACAAATATAAATTCTGTTAATTTTTTCCTATTTATTTTTTCCTGAAAGTGTTTTAAACTTCAAATATATAACCCAGAGATCCTTAACTTTTTTCCTTTTTTTTTTTACTCCCCTTTTGACTCAAATGGCAATGAGTAATTCTTTGTTCCTTTTTAATCTGTTTTCTCCAACAGAAATTATATTCTTGGCAAGCTATTCTTTGTAATCTCATTTCTTCTTTAAAATCATCCCTGCCCTGGGCTCTCCTTGGTGGTGCAACTTGTTAAAGCACTGCATTATGAAGCTCTCCGAAGCCAAATGCAGCATGAAGTCTAAAGAGCTGTTGTCCAGAAATATGCACTTAGTGAACACCACTGTGCTTAATAGTGGCTAGGGTGATAATTTTTGTTATGTGTTTTTCATTACAATTTTTAAAAAACTACATATAGTATTAGTAGTATAATTGCCATTTAAGTAGTATTTTTAAATTATATTTCAAGTCATAAAGATACAATGTGTATTTTGGATGTATTTAAATGTCTGTGCATATAAAGCCATTTATATACAGTTTTATAAATTAAACGAAAGAATATATTTTCCAACCACAATATCTGGTCCATATGTATTTGACATGATGTAAATTATATAAAGAAAAAAAAGTTTACTTACCTCTTCACAATAGTGTCATTCTCTAAGACATTAGTTAGGGGTGCACCTATTGTGTAACCCAAAGCATATCCAACCATTAATGAACCTTCCACACAACCTATAAAATGAATATTGCATATCAAAACTTGACCTGTCAGCTTTGTTATAATATGATTAAAAACTATATCACTGAGGCCCTCCCTGGTGGCGCTGCGGGTTAAAGCACAGCACTGAGAATCTAAAGCCCCTTCCGCATGAGTTCGATTCCCGCCTGCCCTGGAGGAGACCACATGGCGTGGCAGACTTCTCCTGACCCGCCCACTGCTCCCCTCAGCAGTGTACTTCGTCGATCTG